AAAAATATCCCTGGTATTCTTATACGATCCGCACTAAACGAACCCGACTCTTACAAGAAACAAGGCTAGATCACAGCTCAGGCCGATAGTATTACGGGATGCCATAAGGCAGCGTTCAGACTTCACTACGCTTATCGCGCATTCTTTCGTTGTCGATGCATTCAAAAGCATGGCCATCGATAGCGTCGAACGCGCTACCATCGCGAAGTCTGAACGCTGCCCAAAAGGAGAACAGGTCTGCCCAGCGAGTGTCAACCTGTTTTCGGAATGTACCACGACTTTCACTCTCAAGCAGAAAGACTAATAGACCATTTCAGCTGAATGAGAGTTTCTCGTATTTAAACTGTCTGGCATGGGATAGCCAATCAATGTCTTCATCCTCAATATTTAATCTCATCGTAGATTCCCCACATAGGAACGATGGAAGACTCATCGTTAGTTAGAACGACTCCATGGTAAGAATTCTATTGGTACTGGCAAATCTCCACCTCTATTCGAGATGCACCCTCTGAACCTCCTTGTTAGCATTTTAAGTATCAAAAGCATAGAGGATTGTTAAGGACATTCAAAAGTCCATCAACAAACAATCACGTCATACGACATATATGATGTGAAAACTTACAAAGTAAAGGGTGCTAGTGGACCGAGAGGGGGCATTTCGCTTAATTCCAGTCAACAAGCCAGGCAATTCTGAGGACTCCTGAAACTTCCTGTGAAGCTACTCACGTAGCGACAATAAATTTGTTTCTTGCCGAAAGACATTATTTTGGAATGAACAAGAACAAGCTAGGAATTGTTGCAATTGGAGGGGGAAAGCCGTCCGAGAACTATTGTGACTCCAAGGTATGCGAACCAAACTAACAAGATGCGAAAACCAATTTTTGCACAGAAGTTTTCGATCAAGCACAGCACCGACGCAGTTCGGCGCTGCGAGGGGTAGGGGGCATTTCACCAAGTTTCACCTCTGGTGAAACCTGTGAACCCTTGTGAAGCTGGAGCAAGCTCGTCG